AGAGCAAGAAAAAAAAAACGAATTATAAACTATAATCCTTGTCTTCAAGTATTGGACATGTAGCAGGGAAAATGAAACATACACCTACGCATACACACACGCACACACATTATAAAATAAGATGTTTATATGAATAATGTAGTGGGCTGGCATATAATTAAGAGCCAAATGGGTAATACGTATTCCACTCCAGAGTGGAAGCCAAGAATTCCACCAGGTGCTTACATAAGTCTCCTCTAATCCTCAAAGCCATCCAGCAAGGTACAGCCTTTTTATCTCCATTTTACAACTGAGCAAGTCATCAAGCCCGGGACAATTTAAAGGGACCTTGGAGGTCTCCTCCTACAATGTCCTGACCACAGCTGGAATGCCTCTTAGACTAATCCTGCTTGGCTTCTACTCAGCATACCACCAGACACTTCTTACAGGGAATTCTGTTCGTTACAGGTTTCAGTGTTGGAGAACTAGCCCCCCTTGTACCAATTCCTAGAATCTTTCTATGAGGAAAGAACATAAGATATTGATTATTTGAAATGCAGAATACCAAATGGGGTAATTAAAAAAAAAAAAGATTGGGAGGAGAAACCACAACTTGCTTTTTCTCCAAGTCTCTGACGGGAGGAGAAAAAACAGATAGCTTTATAGAAATGCCTCCAATTTCCCCTTGAACTTGCTCCAGATTCGTTTCTTATTTCCCTTTCCGGCAACAATGACCTACCTAGCATTTGTTACTTTTTGTGTAATAATTACAAAAGTTCTGGGCAAATTCCAAAATTCATGAGCTGTCATCACTTCAAGTAACAAAGAAAAATACCTGTGTCTTAGTCAAGTAAAACTAATAGAAAAATTGTTTTAATATTTCCAGTGAGAAACTCTTCTGCATCTATTGGTTTTCTTTTTTTCAGCATAATTCTGTATGAAATATATAAAGAGGTCTTTCCCCTCTCTTCCCTGTCTTGGAATAAGGAAAATAAACCCAAAGACATAAAGTAATCTTGAAATTACAAAGCTATCATTAACAGTTAACGATAATAATATCTTACTTTTATTTCCACTTCAATGCCTTATGCATGATACTTTCACATTGAACTCAGATATCATGACCTCCGTTTTTTACAGTAGACAAAATGAAGAACCAGAGGGATAACAATCTTCAGGTGATCCCAATGGAACCAGAGCATATATTTCCACTCCTCAACGAACAGTCCTCTACGACAGAGCTGTAGGTGTTCACAACAGCATTGCCTAATAAGCCTACAGAAGTAAAGATTTTACCATCTCAAATATAATGAGGGGGTGTGCGTTATCTGAAGTGATATAGACAAACTGAAATAACATGGTTAGTCCTAATGTAAAAGTTACACTAATATTGATGAACTACTGTTGTGACAATATCCTAAATATAAGCTATCCACACCTTGAAAACCTCTGCAACTCTCCTCAAGTGACTGGGGGGTGGGGGTGGGGGATGCCAGTGGGATAACTAGGTCAGCATCAGGCACCGAACCCATCCACACAAAGGCAACCTAATGAGTAGGACACACAGTCACTGAGGGTCAGGGGGCCCCAGAACCACCAACACCCACCCATCTCCCGGCTCCATCTCCTGAAGCACACCCCACTCCACTCAAATCTCTGTTCTTCCCAAGTCCTTTCCAAAAGCAGGATCACCCAACTCACTCTGAATGCTAACTAGGAGATGTGGTCCTCTTCCAGCTCAAGAGAAAATGCAGGGCGGGGGTAATAAAACAAAAACAACAACAACAACAACAACAAAAAAAACACGACAATTTCCAAATCTCTGTACAGTTAGGTTTATGAGTCCGGCTAACATCTGCTCGAAAACCCAAGTGACCTCAATGCAAGCAAGAATTGGTAAACCTCTTCTCCTAAGAGTCAGATAAAAATATTCTAGGCTTTTTGGTCAATGTCTGTAGCAACTGCTCAACTCCAGCACAAAAGCAGCCATAGACAATGCCCAAAGGAATGGGCCTGGTTGTGTTTCAATAAAACTTTATTCACAAAACAGCACTGGTGTGTATCGCCTGCCAAGTTCTGAACTTGAGGATAGTTTGTTTAATATAGTTTGCTTAAAATAGGGTTTAATATAGTTTGTTTAATATAGGATAACCTAGTGCCCACCCATTGGACATCATAGTTACCCACTGAGAATCCTCGTAACAACATCAATAGCAGCAAAAGTAATAACAGTATCTAAAACAGCGGGAATATTAGATACCTGATGCAAGAGCCTCTGTTACCTTTTCCACACGAATCATCTCATTTCATTCCCAAAACAGCTCCATGTGGGAAGTGCTGTTAATCATCCCCATCTCAAAGATGGAGACACTGAATCTCTAGGGAATTAAATGTCCTCCCAACATTCAAAAGATGTTATGAGATAAAACAGATATTTGAGCTACAGCCCATATGACTTCAAAATTTGTACTCTCACACCATACCCCCAAAACACCAATATTATCTTAGGAGGAAGTAAGATAAATCTGGGAACTAGAGGTATGAAATTAAAATGTGGACCATCAAACCCATCTTTCAGAAATGGCCTGGTTCACTTCTGCAAAATTTAGAAACAATTTCCTCTACAAACAAAGGGCCTTTTTTTTGGCAGCCCCACTTTTCAGGCAGCATTTAGGCCTAGAGGTATATGTGCCTGCAGCTAAGAGCCAGATCTGGTCTGTTGTGATTTCAAGGCCTTGGTCTGAAGTGTCAAAAGTAACAGGTAACGATGCCTTCCTTCCTGGTCTTCGTCTATTGGCTGAATGCTAAAGAGGGTCTCTGACGGACCCTAAGTCTTGTTGACATGAGAATCACTATTCCACCATATTGGGGTGAAGCAACCACTGATACTGTGGAATTTTTAGGAAAAACTGTTGAAAGCGTGAGGACTATGTACCATCAATTGATACCTGTCTCATTCATTTCTTCTCCTTTTATGCTTCATTTTCTCCATTCTACCCTCAAGCAAGTGACTTCAATGGTTCTTCCAAGCCAGCCTATATCCTTCTGGGGGATTCCTCATGTGACTGTTCCATCCCATCCAGAAAAAAAAAAAATCAACTAGGAGAGAGGTTGACAAACTATAGCCTGTGGACCCTATCTAACAGGCCACCTGTTTTAATATAGCCTAAGAAGAATGGTTTTTGTATTTTTAAATGACTGTGGAAAAAGAAGTCAAAAAGAAGTATGAAAACTATATACAATTCCAATTTCAGTGTTCATAAATATATTTTTATGGAAACCCAGCAGTTCATCTAGCATCATCCATGGCTGCCTTTGCACATACTGGCAAAGTTGAGTAGTTGCAAGAGAAAACACACACCCAGCAAAGACTAAGATATTTACTGTCTGGTTTTTTACAGAAAAGGGTGTCAAAGCCTGTGGCTGAACTACTAGCCCTTATACCTATAGGGGCAGTTCTCAAATCCATTCCAGAAATGCATTCCAGAAATGTGAAATAGACACTCATTAAGTCCACCAGAGTTAAGGATATCAACAATTGCTCTATACCAAAGACCTTACCACTTATGTCCATTCTTAACTGAGTAATGGGAAAAGTTTTAGGACTTTCATTTCTTCACTGCCATTTGCAACTGGAGATGCTGATGGGATATAACTTCCAATTTCCTGACTAACAGCACTGTTATTCTAAATTGATGAACTGTAAATAGCAGGCCACTTTATGCCTCTTCCTAACTGATATCAGAGCCACTGAGAACAAAATGATAAATTTTCTTCAGTTTTCTTGGCAAGAAGCTATATATATATGTAATTTTTGCCTTCATCTCACTATTCCCTTCATTTATCAGAAATGGTGACAAAAAGGCTCTAATTAGATAATTCTAATCACAAGGAGTTGGGTGTGATGGAAGACTTCAGAATCACTATCTGTTCCTTGCAAAACAAAACAGATAGGCTATTCTCCCAATAGGGGCAGGAGATTTATCAATAGACAAAAGGATGCAAAAAGCCAATAGATAAGCTGTAATTAAAGATCAAGCCTATAAATTTTACACTGACATAAATTTAACAAGATTTGCAGGTGGAAATTCAGGATTTAAAACCAGAGCATCATTATGAAAAGAATGCCTCTCAATTCTATATGCAATGACACTGCATAAACACAGATTTATTATTAATGCTAATACCCCATGCCTTCAAGCCTTTTCAGACAAATTATTTGAATTATTTAGTGCCAAAGTAATTTCCAAAGTGGTCTATCTTCCTCAACCATTCCTCTGTAATTAGTTACATTTTCCATATATATTGGAGCATCAAAATCTCTTCTAGAAATAATAAGCCTCCTATCATATTTTTGGTAGTTGTTGGGAACATAATCCAGAACCATCTATATATTCTTATAGGCCTTCATTTCTCCCCCCTCAGAATGTAAGAAAATTATTTGCAATGTAATTTTCAACATAGCTTTTACAATGCTCTCGGTCTTCAGTGCCTGGAAGGCTGTAAGTTTAAAAGCAAAAATGAAAAGAACTGCAGAATACCAGAGAGGGCTGAAATATATTCAACTAACAAGATCTGATTTGAAAATAAAGTTGCATTTTTTTAGATTAAAGCATAACAAATCATTTTGATATGTGACGCTTTGTAATATTTAGCAGACATTAAGCAGCTCAAGACTAGCCTTCTATTTTCTGCTTTCTGAAATCACAGCCACTGAAAAGACGGAAAAGGCTGGGTCTTTGGGGAAATTGCAAGTTTGGTACAATCACTCATTAACAAGTAAAGTTCAGAAATAAATGCAAACTGAGGGGGAAAAGCAGGTTGAGAAAACAGGTGGGAGAGAGAAATTAAGGTACTTATAACCTTGAGGAAAATCATGGTAGAGTGTTTCAACTTTTAGTGAACTACAAAAGGTCTGAACAAACAGGTTGGGTGTGAAAGCGATTTAAAGAGTACTTTCCAAGGAGCTCAATGGGATGGTCACTGGCCAGTGTGAGCCTGGCCAGACCCCATCCACTCACCTGAGTAGGCCCAGTACGGGTCACCTGAGGCCTTACGCCGGCGGATCTGCGCTGAGCTGCCGTGTCTGTTCTCGTGCAGGGCCCCGACATAGCCTTCCGTCAAGGCTGGAAGAGAGGGAGAGCACAATGAGTCAAAGTCTTCACTCCACTGGACAGGGGAAGGGTGTCTAACGTACCACCGATGACTTCCCAGCAGCAGAGACCTCAGGGATAATAGAAGAGATCCTGCAGAAGAACAGCTATAAGATAACCTAGCAAGACAACCAGGATTGACATTAATATTAACAGGAGCTTACAACAAGCCTTTGGGCCACCAAGCATGACGCATTAAGAACTTTATATATTGTATCTTACATGATTTACAGAACACAACCGAGCAATAGATCCAGTGGTCCCAATAACGAGACCATTCTATTGATAAGCACACTGAACCTTAAAGAATTTAAGTAACTTTAACTTGCCCAAAGTCATACAACTAGTAGTAGAAGACATAGAACTGGAGGTCTTTGTTCCAACTACATGTATAAGACTGTCTTATCTGCAAAAGGCCTCTGAGACTTACTTGATCCTCAGAGAGAAAGGGGTCATTCTATCTCTTTTGCAGATGGAGGAATTAAGCCTCATAGACACTAAGTAACCTGGGACCAGGTAACACAGGTAAGCATGCAGCACATCAGGGAACCAAACATAAGCATGCCTACATCAGAGCCGGGGCCACTGCCATCCAAACGCATCACAGTCTAAGGCCTCGGAGACTTCCCATGGTGAGTACCAGTCCTCCACATCTTTTGAAGCCCAAAGAGTTACCTGTTACACCCAAAGGTTACACCTAAAGACATGAAACCCATAAGACCAATGATGCTCAGAAAAGAAACTCTAATGATGTATTTTTTGAAAACTCATAATGAATCCAATCTTCTCCACCATTATAGAGACCTTCCATCTGCTTGCTACAGTGTTCAAGGTCCTCCCCTCCCACCAAATTCATGAATGTAAATTTCTTTTCTTATGAGCCCACACCCAAATGCACTGACTTGTAAGAAGACAAATACTGCAGGTGCCCAGAATCCAAAAATGAAATGGAATTACACACAATACATCCCAGCTGTCTACGTTAATATTTAAATGCACCCAAACAAAATCAAGTGTGCTTTTAAAAAGCAAGGGAAAATGGTTAGGGGAACTGTAGATTCAATTTAAGATTAAGATGGCACCAGGAAAACAGTACATTCACCACTCTGAATCAATCCAAGTAATGATAATGATGTCACCTGATGGCAAATTAAGAAACGTGTGAAATACACAGTCCCCAACTTATGATGGACGACCTAGCAATTTTTCAACTTTATAGTGGCACAAAAATGATATGCATTCTGGGCGCCTGAGTGGTTCAAGCGGTTAAGTACCTCGCTTCTGCTCAGGTGTTGATCCCAGGCTCTTGGGATCCAGTACTGCATCAGGCTCCCCACTCAGCAGGGAGTCCGTTTCTCCCTCCCTCCCTTGCTCCTCCCCCCTGCTCATGCATGCTTGTCTAAATAAATAAATAAAATCTTTAAAAAAAATGATACACATTCAGAGGGAACCGAACTTTGAATTTGGACTCGGATTTTTTCCCCGAGCTGACAATATGTAGAGTAAGATCCTCTCTCCTGATGCTGGGCAGCAGAGGCCCCACAGCTCCCAGTCAGCGCCAACCCCCCCACCCCCCACCGATCACGAGGGCCAACCACCAACACAATTAGAACCATCAGCACCCATACAGCCATTGTGTTTTTCACATTCCATACAAACTCCATGAATTACATGAGATACTCAACACTGTATTATAAACTAGGCTTTGTGTTAGAGGACTTTCCTAACCATAAGCTTATGTAAACATTTTGAGCATGTTAAGGCAGGTTAGGCCAATACAGGACATTCAGGAGGTTGGGTGTATTAAATACATTTTCACCGTAAGATATTTTCAACTTATAATGAGTTTCTCAGGACATAACCCCATCATAAGTGGTGGAAGATCTGTGTTTTATACTTGCATGTCAACTCCGAAGACTGGATTTAAAAGGAAAAAAACGCTTGAACTAAGAACAAAGATATTCCATAGACATGGGCCCCTTAGAGGGAAACAGGAATCTTGTAAAATTCAAATACATTTATGTTTGCTCATGGTCATTGTTAAGTATAATGAAGGTTTAGGTACCCACCATCCAGTCCATCCTATGATTTTGCAGATGAGCAGGCAGAGCTCCAAGAAACTGACCATTCTAAGCTTCTAGGGATCCAAAATAAAACTTTCCATCTCCTATACTCCTAATCTATTTTTTCCTCCACCAAAGCATGCTACATAAATAATTGTTCAGCTTATTTATTGTGCGTGCGTGCATTAAACTTTTTCATGTATCTGTTTAATATGTTTCTTAGAGCTAGTTCACTCTAATAATTATCCCCAAATAATCCATCCTCTATTAAGGTCATGAGAAAGCACTGCCTTGAACAAGGAAAAATGCAACTTCTGTTAGGGTACGTGGCTGAGCCTCAGTTTCCTTGCCTCTTAAATGGAGCCACAAGTAGCAGCAACTTCACAGCATTGTTACAAAAACAAGACACTGTGAGCCAAGCAACTAACTCAGCAGTGGGCATGGACGGTTTTTTAAATACCTAATAACATAGTAGAAAATTGTTTCAGAGACTCTGTTTTAGTAATCATCATACCCCGCGACCCACCTATACAAGTCATGCAGTGCATGGCAATGTCGGGTCAGCCCATCCCTGCCAGCTCCAGCGGTGGGCCTTGTTTGGCTTAAGCCAGGCAATCGTTGTAAACCATACCCCTGGGGCAAGTGACCTTATTGGCAATGGGGATGTCAGCCAATCAGAGAGATTCTTCTTTCTTTCTGCTAGTGTTAAGACAGGATTCTGAAGCCTCAGGAGACTGGCTGGGGGTCAAGTAGAAGATCGGCAGAGGAGTTCAAAAATGTAACCACACCATGGGAAGCAAAATCTATAGATCAATTCTGTTGGCAAAATTTAAGCCCATGACAGAGGTAATCTGAAAGTGATCCTGTGGGACGCTTTATATTTACTCGAACCAATGATTGCCAAAACTCTCTTTTTGTCCCTTGTATGCAAAAGATCCCCAAATGACACTAAAGGTGACCTTCAAATGAGTCTATGACCTTCAAATGAGTCTATGCTACACCTGATTGTCAATTTCTCCATAAAAGGCCATCATCGGACTAGAGCTCTGACTCAAACCTGGAAGCTTTAAAAATAAAACAAAACAAAAGCAAAATGAACAAACAAAAACAAAAACAGAAACAAAATCTATGCCCTAGACCTTACCATCAGAGATTCAGATTGGATGACCTGGGATGGGACCACGACATAGGATACAGGTACTTTAAAAAAAAAAAAAAAAAAAAAAAAAAAAAAAAAAAAAGGTTGTCTGGGTGATTCTATTTTGAAGCCAGAGATTAAAAAAAAAAAAACCACAAACTTGGGGTGCCTAGGTGGCTCAGTGGGTTAAAACCTCTGCCTTCAGCTCAGGTCATGGTTCCAGGTTCCTGGGATGGAGCCCCACATCGTGTTCCCTGCTCAGCAGGGAGCCTGCTTCCCTTCCTCCCTCTCTGCCTGCCTCTCTGCCTACTTGTGATCCTGTCTGTCAAATAAATAAATAAAATCTTTAAAAAAAAAGAAAAAAAAAACCCACAAACTTCCTTGCTGAGCTCAACCCACAGTCCCCTTCAACTTTGACATTCTCAATTCACCCTCACAGACTGGAACCTGACAGGCTAAGTGAACCTTGGGAAAAGTCTGGCCAGGAAGAGCTGAACTGGTTGCTGCAGAAATCACACCAATATGGTGTCAACCTCAGACTATCCGCTAAATCTGAGCTAAACCAGAAAGCGCAAAAACAAAAGTAAAGGAGGAATGGAGTTATCCTCAAGGATATTCATTTAAACCTTTTACAAAAGATATTATCCAGAGTCAAGATCTCCACAATGAATCCCCCTTTCTTTCCTGAAAGGGTGGTGCTTTTCATTTTCCGGAACCTTTGAGAACACCAGGCTAGGGAACAAAAGAGGACAAAGGCTGCCAGCACCATCTCTCACTGGAGTGGCTTTCCTATGGGCAGCTGTGTTACCCATCCCGCTGGAAAAGCAAAGCAACAGAGTCCAGGGCTACATCAGGAAACTGTGAAAACCTCCAAGTCCTTAGATGACAACTGCATCAGTCTTTAACTAGACTTGACAGAGGCCATGGTTTTGGGGTCTCACACTTGCCAGCTTCCCAAGCTCCCTAAATACTCAGTACAAAAAGCAAACCTACAAAGATATATCCAATTCAAGAAACAAGGGAGGTAAACATCAGAGCTCCTCTGACACGGCATCGTAATGGGATCCACACCCCAAAGAGCAGTTACCTTCCCAGCCATCCCATATGCAGCATACTGGGACGCAAGGGGTCTCAACGGAGTGGCAGAACTGTCTAAAGGAAGCTCATTTAGGACAAAAGGAAGAGTGCAGTTTGGGTGGACATAGAACAATGGACAAGAGGTAACACAGAGAGCAAGGCCATCCCAAGGAAGGTGGGCTATCCCTTTCTTCATCACACACCCCCCCCAAAGTACTGAGGTATGATGTGGGTTGTACACAGCAGGTGAGGAATGGACAAAAAAACTCTGCTTCTGAAGGACATGCTGCACAGCGATGAGAGGCTCTAAGCTCCTTGGAGATAACGAGCATGTCAACCTCCCAGCCATGATGGCGTCTGGAATATGGGGGGTATTCAATAATCAGTGAATGAATGGATGAATGAGTGAATGAATACACATACACATGAACAACATAAAGGCTGATGGTGTCTGTGTTGGTCTAAGAGTGTGCGCATGTATGCTGTGTGTATATATAAACCACAAGCAAAACCACAACCTTCTCCCCACTGTCTCACTTTCTAGTCACGGCCTACCCATCATAACGGCAAACATCTGAAACATGAAGCTGGAAGGAATGATCCCCAAGCACCTCATACACCACTGTTTAGGGAGGCAACTCAGAAATGAACAGGTAAGCAAAGGACTTTATCACCCTGGCACAGATTTCTTTGAG